TCTTGGTTGAGTAATAAGGAAGAGATCATACTAGTATGTTAAGGCTATCCCTTCTTTCTTTTGGTATGATCCAAATGATACAAACGAAACGAACAAAATACGCAACTTTCATAAATGACTGTATTCATAGAAATACTAGGGGTGTCTATATTCTTGATTCCCAATGTGAATTATTATTATATATTCTGTTCATGGGTCTCAGAAAAATATGCATTTGATAAAGTTTATCCGAAAGGCATATTGATTTTATGACATTCCGAGAAAATCTTATTAACGTATTTCTTATGCATTTCATGCATTTATACATGTACATTGACCCATGACCAGATGGCGTTATATACACGTATATTATATTATATGTATATGGGATATGGGAGAAGGTTACGGCGTTATATACGCATCACCACCTGATCAGCTGGTATACGTTGATGATTTTGCCCACAGTGGCCGAGATGATATGATGGGATGCCCTCAGAGGCTTGATGATGTTATTAACGCATATACCTATGCATGGTATGACATTTATACGCATATGGATGGCATTGTAAATATAAATGATTCACAAATCTAATTCAGACATACATGTTGAGTCTTTTACTCTATGTTTCTCTCATGTCTATTATTTACTGATTTTCATTCTTTACATACTCGGTACATTATTTGTACTGATGTCCCTTTTGTCTGGGGACGCTGTGTTTCATGCCAGCAGGTCCCGATAGACAGGTTGAGAGTTCTCCTAGTAGGCTATCATCTCAGGAGAAGGTGTTTGTGCACTCCACTTGCTTCAGAGTTGCCTATTTGGTCAGTATGATTTGAATATGTATTGATTAGTATGGTGTGACTCTGTCCCCACCTTTATGATATTTATGTACTCTTAGAGGCTTGTAGGCAGATGTCATGTATACGAATACTGGTATGGCCTTATAGGCCAGTACGTCATATGTATAAGTCGGTATATCAAGTTGGGTCACCCTATATTGAGTATTTTCTCATATTTTATTCTACTTATCTCACGAGAGCCTCTCCGGCTCATTTACCTACGATAGTATGATACGAAAGATACGTTACGTTGGTACTCGGTTGAGTAAGGTACCGGGTGCCCGTCGTGGCCCATCGATTTGGGTCGTGACATATTACATAACCATATTATCTACTACAAACAACAAAAATTAAAATATTACATCTCTACATATTCATCACCGATCACATGACTTGTTTTCTCCTTCCGGGAGTGCAAAGTAATCAGCTACATCCAAATGCATGAAGTTTAAATTACCTTCAGAAATAAAATTTGCTTCAGCATTTTTCTCAGTCTTCCTCAAGGAGGCTTGATACAGCTCAACCAGGTGCTTTGGCATACGTCATGTACGTGACCAGTGCCCTTTTCCTCCACATCTATAGCATGCATTTTCTGCGTTTGCTGCTTTCACCACTTTATGCTTTTGTTCCTTCATTTTTCACTACTGGTGGTGAGGATAGTTCTTTGGTGCATTATTATTACTATGATTAGTGTTCCTTCCCCGACCACGACCATGACCACGATTGGGGCCACGTCCTCTTCTACGCTTAGCTTGGTGGAAGTTCATCTCATTCACTTCAGGGAATGGAAAAGAACCAGTAGGTCGACTTTCATGATTTTTCATTAATAGCCCATTATGTTGCTCGGCTACAAGAAGATGTGAGATAAGTTCAGAATACTTTTTGAATTCCATCTCTTGATATTGCTGCTGCAGGAGCATGTTCGAGGCATGAAAAATGGTGAAAGTTTTCTCCAACATATCATGATCAGTAATATTATCATTACGTAATTTTAATTGGGAAATAATTCCGAACATAGCAGAATTATACTCACTGATAGATTTAAAATCTTGTAGCCTTAAATGAGTCCAATCATATCGTGCCTGTGGAGGAATGACCATCTTCAGGTGGTCATATCTATCTTTTAAATTATCCCACAGTATGACTGGATACTTTAACAGTAAGATATTCCATTTTTAGGCTCTCATCAAGGTGATGACGTAGGAATATCATTGCTTTGGCACAGTCTTGGTTTGATGCCTGATTTTTGTCCTTGATGGTGTCTGCCAGACCCATCGCATCAATATGAATTTCGGCATCAAGCACCCAAGACATGTAGCTTTTGCCCGATATATCCAGGGCTACAAATTCAAGTTTAGAAAGATTTGACATTATTTAGAAAAAGAAAGTTCGTACCTCTGATACTTTCAAAGTATTTTCTCGAGATGGCAGAGTCTCGTGCTGATAACGTGTTATAAAATAAAGACTGTAAAGTAAAGACAAGTATAGAGAAAAACTGATATATTATTCAAACTTCAAACTTATGTACATAATGAACTGAAAACTCCTATATTTATAGAAGAAAGGAAGCAGCTGCGAGACTTTTCAGGAAGCAACTGCACGGCTTTTCTTTAGCTGCTTGTAAGCTGTCTGCATGAGTTGCTTGTAACCTGTGTGTTTAATAAGAAGCTGCTGCAAATCATTTCATTGAGCTGCTTGCAACCTGCCTGCATCAGCTGCTTGTAAATAAATTTCAACAGAGTACTAAATTATCTATAGCGGAGTAATAAATGGACCTCTACAATATAATTATTTTCATAACAATAGAGTATTAATTTCCATAATTTTCAAATACGTAGAATTGTATACTGATTTCATTTTAATATTAATTTAAACGTTATCTCTTAATCATTATAGCGAAAATATCAATAGAATACTATTCCCGCTCTTTAGGTAACTTTTACTGTTCTAATTGAGTTACTTTTTATTACAAACGATCGTTTTATGACTTTGCTATACTAAAGGGAAAATCGAAATATTATCCTTGAAATTACTTTAAATAATTATGTACAAAGCATACTAAACAAATTATTAACTACTATCTTTTAACTGAAGTTTGTTTCCCTATATTATCTACAAGAAACAAAGAACTAGATAGCCCACCAAGTTATCAGTTTCTTGTACTTCATAGTTTTGGATGGAATAAAGGATTATTCTTGGGTTTAAAAGGTAAAGTAAAGTGAAGTGAAGGCTTAAAATTAGGAAATGCAATTCTAAGATGCTTTGACAAAAAAGTTAAGAAATAGATTCTGCAAAAAAGGATACGTGTGGATAATAAAACTAATCTATTATATAATAAAAGAAACAAATGGATAACCTCTTGTAAGACTAAGTAGTGTTTTTGTTTTGCTGCAAAAAAATGCTTTTCTTTCACCCCTTACAAAATACTACTACTACTGAAATTCGTGTTTATATAGCCCATGAGCAATGAGAGGGAGGAATAGAAGAACTGAAGACTTTCAATAAGATTAAATTTTTTTTATTTTTTTCACCTGGTGCTCGATACTAATATTGGGTCCTACGCGTTCCCTAACAAAAATGACCCGTGACTTAATATTTAAATTTCGAACCCGGGACCTCTAATTAAGAATGATTACTCTCAATCACAACCTTGATGGCAAGATTAGAACTCTATTTGGACACGTCTTAAAAATAATTTTTTTTTGTTGGAGCACGCACAGTAATTGGTGCAATAGCATAAAATGTCAAAATAGACATGCCTAAACTATGGTGGCAGCCATGTGAGCTTTTTGACGTTCTACCGACATCCTTTTCAACATACAACATGACCTACTTAAATACATCAAACATAGTACATTAAATAAATTTCAGAACTTAAGATTAATTAGAAAATTGCAAAATCATAAAGACTAATTAGTGGGCGTTTGGACAAAAAAAAAAGTAAAATTTCTTTTCCAAGTGAAAATGATATTTGAAAATTAGAGTTGTGTTTTGACATAAATATAATTTGAGTTGTTTTTGAAGTTTTGTGAGTGATCTGAGTGAATTTTAAAAATAACTTTTTGGAGTTTTTTAAATTTTTGAAAAATTCAAAAATTCATTTTCAAGTGAAAATTAAAAATTTTATGGCCAAACATTGATTTCAAAAAAAGTAAATTTTTTTCGAAAAAAGTTAAAAAAATTCTTATGTCCAAAAGGGCTCTTAGAAAATCATTAGTAGTTTTCCATATTAATGAAAAAGCAATAAAATATGTATATCTCTTGGACCATTGGTAGAGAAGAATAAGCAAGACTTAAATATCAATTGTTGCGGGATCGTTTGGTTGGAAAGAAGTTATCTCAGGATTAATTATTCCGGATTAGTTATCTCGGAATTAGTTATTCACCTTTTTATAAGGATAAAAAAATACTACAATTCCGGTATAACTAATCATGAGATTAATTATACCGCAATTTTTTACCTACTAAATATGGAATAAACTCTTCTTAAATTTAGTCCGAGATTAATTATTTTTTATACCTAGTACCAATCGAGACCTACTAATAAGAATAAAACCATGGAATTTTGGATCCTATAATTTGGTCTAATAAAACAAACAAAAAACAATTAATTTACTAAATCAAGAAAATAATTGAAAAGCAGCAAGCACAGAAAATCATATAGGTTGCCAGCCTGAGCCTATTGCAATTTCCATTTGTTTTACCTTTATTTTCTTTCGTTTTCTCTGTCCCCTTCCCAAAATTGGCGGCTATAATTTACTACTCATAATTTACTGTAAAAACTCCGATTTTGACTACTCTTAAGTTAAGAAAAAGAAAAACAACAACCCATCTCATCACACGCGCCATCCGGCGCATAGAAACCACGCACTGAACTTAATAGACCGTTAATCGCATAACGACAATGATTCCACGTGTCAGTGTAAGTAAAAAACAAAACCAGGCGTTGAATACGCGAGTGGACTTGAAAATGCAGATATGTATGTATTAGAATTACACTTTCCTAATGTCACACACATTGTCCTTTTTTAGAAAGAGAAAAGAGTGGAGAAGAAGAAGAAGCGAAGAAGTCTCTCTTCACTGTATTTTCTCTTTGCAACTTTTCACATTTAGCTTTTTCTTTTTTCCAGCTATTTGCAAAAGGTAAAGGATTTTCTCTCTCCAGATTTACAACTAATAAGTGTTTCATTATTTGCCCCTGTTAAACACAATGCTTGCTTGCATCTTTAGTTTTTTAGCTCTTTTTTTGTTTTTCTGCTCAATTATCAGAGTAAAAGCCTCTTCTTTTATATGAAATAATGATGCTTTTCTCAGCTTCATTCTCATCATTTCCACATAATTCACTTACTATTTGGTGGGTATTTTGTTCTTGTTATTTTACTTTTATATTTACCTTCTTCAACTGTTCAAAGTTAGTTTCTTTTCAAGATTTGTTTGTGTACTTCTTTTGTGGACGCTTATTTTGCTCTTTGTTGTTGTTCTTGTTATTGTTATTGTACTTCTTTTTGTGTTTTAGTTTTTGGGACTTGAGTAAGATATTGATTTTTTTTTCTTTTCTTGTTATTCCAGATTGGAAGTTTTTTTATGTATTGGCTATGCAGAGTGTTTTTCCAAAGAAAGGGTAGATTGAAGAAAAAGGTCACAGCTTTGGATCAATGGGTGGGAAGAGATCTATAATATGTTGCTTGAATTTGGAGATCTTGGTTTGGTTTCTGTTAATTTTTGCTTTTCAACTTTCAGATGAAACTGACCCTGGAGATGGTAAGGAACAAACATTTACTAAATTCTGAGTTGTTTTGCCCTTTTTGATTGCTCACAAAATATTATGTAGAAGGAGAGGAACGCTAATTTCATGTTTTGGACAATGCTGGTTAGGGAGGAACTGATTTGGTAAGCTAAGCTAGATGTTAACTTGAACTCTACTGGGTTCTTAATTCAGGGGAGGAGCTGAGACTTACTAAAAATGGTTATATGAATCCTCTTTATCCATTTCCTCTATTCAAGAATGAATTTAGGAATTTCACTTAGCTTCCTGAAAAACTTGCACGCCGCAGTTACCAATTACATTACAATAGAAAGCTATCATTAATTTAATTTAGAAGAGAAGGAAGGGAAAAGAAAGAGAAGCAAAGGAAAAAAGAGGAAATCAAGTATTGACTCCTAATACCTAAGTTTTTGGGGGGCTATGGATTCCCCAGGCGATATGTGGACTCTGCAGATGCCCTTATTGTCCCAAATATCGACTAAAATGCCATCTTGTTTTCTGTAAACTTTGTCCTTTGGCTTTGTTTGAAGTTAGCATTCGTCAATTGATCGCATCCTAAGTTTCTTATTCGTTCATGAATCAATGCCTGGAATATTTTTTATTTAGTTTGAATTTTTAACTTTGACATTTTCCTTTTCTCCTGGTCTAGTTGCTGCAATTAATGCTTTTCATGCTGCCATGGGATCGCCTTCCCTTCCTGGGTGGGGTATCAGTGGAGATCCGTGTGATGGACAATGGCAAGGGGTCACATGCAATGATACAAATATATTAACCATGTAATTACCTTTCATTTGCTGCAGCATTTCATGGATATTTGGAAGTCATAATTGTTAATCCTTCTAATCATGTTCTTTGCAGTAAACTGAATGTTGCTAACTTGGGAGGTGAACTAGGGGATAGCTTAGCAGGGTTTTCTTCCCTCCAAACGATGTACGCGCCCCACGGATATATCTCCTTTAACATAATACTCCATTTGATTGTGTCTTGCGTGCATGTGCCGCATATTATGTGAATGTTTCCTTTCTAGAGGTATCCTTTATTGTGTGACGTGAGGTCAATAATTGTTGCAACATCTTGTGGCAGAGATCTGAGTAACAATCAAATTGGCGGAACCCTCCCATCCAATCTGCCAGTTACATTGCAGAATATGTATGTATTATGATTTCCCTGGAAGGAGAAATAGAGAGAGAAGCATGAACTTTTACAGCTTCACTTTTTGAGCAAACCATTTGACAGTCTTTACCCTTTTGGCAGTTTTCTTTCAGATAATGAGTTGATGGGAAGTATCCCTACTTCTTTATCTTCCCTAAATCAGCTGTCAGCAATGTGAGTTTCCAGCTTGTAATTTAGATTGGAGATTTTCCATTATCATAATCATGGTTTTGCTCAATTATACTTCATTTTTCTCAGGTCTCTCAACGGAAATCAACTGAGTGGAGAAATTCCTGATTCCTTTCAAGGCCTTACAGCATTGGTTAATCTGTATGACACTGAAGCAAAAGCATTTATAATATTGCCATAGATGTTTTTTAATTGTCCATAACTGGGTGGATTATTTATATTCTGACAGTGATTTGTCAAGTAACAGTTTAAGCGGAGCTTTGCCGTCATCAGTAGGAAACTTGTCCTCCTTGACCACTCTGTGAGTAATTCCACCTTTTGTTGATTTGGTTTGTTATTTATGACCAATGCAAAAATAGCTAATTTCTTGATCTCCAGACGTTTGCAGAATAACCAGCTTTCTGGAACTCTTGACGTTTTACAAGATCTTCCCCTCGCAGATTTGTACTCTTCCTAACTATATTTAACTCAAATATTATTTCCAGGTCCTTAGAATGATATAGCATCTTACTAGTATCTCCCCATCTTTTATGTCCCTCCAGGAATGTGGAAAACAACCTGTTTTCTGGGCCCATACCTCAGAAGTTGTTTTCTATTCCCAATTTCAAGTAAGTACATTTCACTTTCTGCCTTTCTAATATTGTTCTTTATCTTCCAGCTTGTAAGCTACACTATGTTCTTGGCCGCCTATTACATTTTGATGCCTCTTTGTTCAAAGCAATCTTCTAGACACACATTCAGAAACTATTGGAACACAGTCATTGTTGAAGTTCGATTTTTACATGACAAGTTGCTCTCTATTTTTTGTTAATATCCTCTTTCTCAATTCTGAGTGACGTTGTCAGTAACAACCTTGATCAGCTTGTTATTCATGGAAAATTAAGGCAGATAAGAGCTGAAGGACTACAACCATTAATATACACTCAACACTTCTAAAGCTGAACCACATGTATCATCTGTACCCAGCTTCATATTTGCGACCCACTTCAGACCATACTAAACTTTTAGTTAATATACTGGTGAATATCGAACTCAACAAAAGAGAGCATTTCCTGTTCAACATGATAAGACTTCAATAGGCGTCATCATCTCATTAAGTACGGATGAGGGGAAGAGTTCAGAATAGCTTCTGTGACAGACGCTAAGTTTGTTAATTGGCAATATCAAATGCAATTTCTGTCGGCAAATTTCTCAATTTCTAAACCTATCTGTTTAAACTTTTTATGTCCCTATAAACTTCTGTGCTTTTGTGTGTGTATGTGTGTGTGCGTGTGTGCATGTAAGTTTGTGAATCCAAGACCTTCTTTATTCTCTATAAGCTAGAAAAACCTTGTTCTGAACTACAACACTCTTAGTAATAAGCAAGAAAAAATATTATGAAAGGTGTGTAATATGCTAGCCTGTGTGTTAGCTGCACCTTCTTCAGCCATAGCATTTTAGAAAATGAAGCTATTCAATTTGAAGAACACTATTTTCAAAACTGTTCTTCTGGTTTTGACACAGAAAGTTACAGCAAATGGGTTTTATCATGGGATAAGCAAGGGACTTCAGTTCAGTGGAGTCCTGTGTTTTTCAAGTCTCATTAGTCACTTGGTATTTGAGAGCATGTTGGTGATGAAGACTGAAGTATTTATGGTGGATGTGTCTGATACTATGTACATTTTAGGTTTTCAATTTGTTGATAGATGAAGAGGATATGTACGACTGTCATTGAGGAGTGCAAACTTATGGAAAATGACATTGTCAATATACCAGTTCATGAGCTTTTATTTTTTCATAATTAACTTTTGGGGAATTAACTTGTTGGCCAACTACAACAAATTATGAACCTTCTAGTGACACTAAATACTAGGAGTTATGGGATTCAAACTTAAATTCGCTGAGCAAATGCACAACAGAATTAACAATTACCGGAGATGTGACATTTTGAAAAGTATTTTTACGTTGCAAATCCAGATTATGTTTAACGGTTATGACGCTGACTTGGATCAGAATTGCTTGTGCGCTCACAGCATAAACGACAGCTTGAGGACTAGACATAAGAATAATATCAAACTGCATGAGGTAAAGTAGCTAAAATTTTTGACATCATAAGCACCATCACCTGGAAAAGAATATTCCTAACACTATGCTGCGCAAATTTTTAATAGTTGGATATAAGAGCACCTAGCCTCCACAATAAATTGGAAAGATGTGACATCTACAGGCTAAGGAGTGTAGTGTGCACAAAAACCATGAAACACCCATGGTATGATGTTTCATATCTGTCAAAAAAAAGAAAAGAAAAGAAAAAGAAAGATATTTCGTAACTTATATGGTTCTGTCGAGCTGGATCATGGTTACTTTTTGGTCATATTTAAGTTCATATGAGTGCAGGCTAAAATTTACCCAATGTTTGAACACAGGCTTGGATCATATATCTTATTGTTGTTTAAATTTGTTTGTGTGGAAATTTGATTTATTGAATGATATTAGTAAGGATAATTGGATAAATACTGATCCATGCAGGGATGACGTATCAGTTGTTTCATCCTTTTACTCCAAGTGTCCTATAAATGTTTTGATTGACCTTTGATTACAAACAGATGGCTAATGCTGTCCTTTTATTTGCTAATTTTGTTCTTGTCGTGCAGAAATGATGGAAATCCTTTCAACAGTAGTACTGCTCCTTTGCCTCCACCCACTTCTTTAGCAGCACCCCCTCCAGCAGGACTAGCACCACCCTTTTTTAAGCCTCCAACTTCAACGCAGACACCACCAACTTCTGGAAGAAAACCTGGAAAACAGGCTGATGGACCAACAGCAACTGCAGAACCCAGTTCAAAAGGAAGCAAAAAGTCTGTTAAAAGGGTAGTCTGGATATCCATTGTAGCAGTTTTGTCATTTATAATATTGGTTATAGCAATCCTGCTCTTCCTGCCAAGATGCCTTAAGGATAGGCAAGAGAATAATTGGTCCAGACGGCATGAAGTAGCTCCTTTTGTGGGGTCCAGGGAGAATCGTAGAGATAATGGTTCATTGGTCCAACTTGGACATGATGTAGAGAAAGGTACTGCAAATTATTAAAACCTCTTAACTATTTTATCGTGTGTATTGTTCCCTATCAGAATTTTTATTCTGTGTATTGATGCTGGTGTTCCTTAGTCTGACTTTTCTCCTTAGGTCCTACAGTGAAAACTACTTTTCTTTAATTTAGGCTTTATTTGAATCTATGGACTTTATATCTAAGCATGCATTTAAATCGACAGTGGTTATCCATGTTTCTTCAAATTATGTCAATTTATAATCCTAGTGAAATAGTCCAAATTCTCTATTTACATCATCATCTGAAATGCCCTCTAAAAAATTTCATAAATTTGAATATGTTTTTGCAACATTTGGAACTAAAAAGCTATGAATGTAAAACCCCTCACTCTCCAGTCTTTGATGATAAGTGAACTTAATATGTGTTTAACAGCTCCTCCTCTAGTGAGGCCAAAGGAAGAGCAACAACTAAGAAGACCGGCTCGCGCTCCCATGCCAGAGCATGAGCAGGAGGTAAATGTGCAAAACATGAGTGCAGTG